AGAGAGAATTTAACAATGAGCAATTTTATATTTTTGTTATTTTGTTAAATTAGGAGATTCTTGTAACATATACTGGATATATACTAACTATAAACGCAATATATACTGCACATTCAGAAAACCGGTGAGCTGAGAAAATTTATTGAATATAAAAACAACATATAGTTCATTGTAGCTGCAATGGTTATTTGTTGAGTATCTGTTGCGTTTACATACAATCTCGTTTCGGTATATATGCTGTTGAGTACGTTTTTTGTTGAATATATACTAACTATAAACTCAAAATATACTGCCCATTCAAAAATGAAAAATTTTACTGACTTTTAAATGCAACATATACTTTGTTGTAGCTGCAATTTTAACCATAAAAAAAAATACATATAAGTCAATAAAACACAGTTAAAGAAACGACAAAAAAAAATATATATATATGAAACTAAATAATGTTTATGATCAATGAAAAACATCATATTATGTCATAGTTTATGCGTGGTTATCAAGATAATTTTTTTATTGAAGACGAAACTAACAAAGGAACAATTTGTTTTATTTATTTATTTATTTATTTTGGTGTTTTGATATATTAGGAGATTATTGCAACATATACTAAATATATAATATATATGAACTCAATATATACTGCCCATTCAAGAAATGAAAATTTATACTGACTTTTAAACTCAACATACACTTCGTTGTAGCTGCAATTTTTACGAAAAAAATACATATACCGTCAATAAAACACAGTTAAAGAAACGACAAAAAAAAATATATATATATGAAACTAAATAATGTTTATGATCAATGAAAAACATCATATTATGTCATAGTTTATGCGTGGTTATCAAGATAATTTTTTTATTGAAGACGAAACTAACAAAGGAACAATTTGTTTTATTTATTTATTTATTTATTTTGGTGTTTTGATATATTAGGAGATTATTGCAACATATACTAAATATATAATATATATGAACTCAATATATACTGCCCATTCAAGAAATGAAAATTTATACTGACTTTTAAACTCAACATATACTTTGATGATAAAATTTAACCGTGTCCTTTGTTTTAGGAAGAAGGCGAAATTCAAATTTAAAATTTTTTGCGCTGAATGAATAACAACACTAATCCGAGATTATGTTTTGGATATATTTCCATTCCATATATAACGAATTTCTATTTTAATGTTCACATTTAATTAGCAATCATGGTCGTAATGAAAAGTGTGGGGGCGTTATTTTTGTTGACAAATTCTTTAGGCATATATAACGGATTACTATTTAAGCATTAATGTAGTTATATATTATCTATTAGGTAGAGACGTAATTATTTGTTTATGGATTGTAGTTTTGCAATATTTTCAAAATTTTGTAGAATACATGAAAATTTTCCTTGCATTTTAATTCATAATACCCAACCTAATCTCTGCCCATTAACACATTCAGCCCAAATTATTCGGTGGTTCAAATTGGTTTTTTACATTTTACTATTATTTTTAAAACCTTTTTTTTTTAATAAATACGACAATTTTAATAAATTTTAATGTTACACAAAGAAAATATTTTTTCTAAATCTACGGATTTTTTCTTCTCTAAATTTGCATTAGTTTATTATAATTTAATTTTAATTTTTATTATTAGATCACGTGATCTTGCAAAAACAAAAGTTTATAATCGAACCTGGAAGGAAGATGATTCAAAGTTATTTTCTCCGTGTATCTAGTAGATGATATCCTTGACATTCCCCTGTTGTTCGTTGAGAGCCCAGATCAACGATTTTGGGCATTAAGTAATGAAAGAAAATATTAGGTACGTGATGGCTATAGGGTGGCAACTGGATTTTGTACTACTTCAGAGTCACATTCATCGTCTATCTGGTGGCGTTTATCCAACAATATCATCCCGACAATACTTAACCTTGCTTTACCCCATGCCTCTTCTCATGGAAGCTACAAGCTTTGGGGATATGGGTTGAAATTCATTATTCAATCTCTTTTTCGATGTTATTATGCTCAAAATGGTGGAAAGAGTCATAATTCTACCATTTTGTATCATCGTTTGTTGATGGCCGCACACTTAATTTTTGTCTATGGATAAAGCATAATCTTGACATGGTGAATTTCGCAGTATTAGTTACCCAGGTTTGGGGAGTAAATTTAGAGTCTTGAGAATTTGGTAACGAAAAATCCTTTAGCATGTTATTGAGTACTTGAATTGTTTCCAAAATAACTATGGTGTCGGTTCAAGGCCTAGCGAGTGTTTTTGGCAAACTGAGTGATATTAAATGAAGGAAGCCATCGAATGGAGTGTGGAAATTGACTGTGGATGTTTCGTGGGTAAACACAAAGAGTTCTTTTACATTGATGGACTTCTTTGAGGTTTGCACGACACGGGCAACCTAAGGTAGTGTTTAGTCGAAAAATGAAGCACATTAATTCGATGTTAGAAGGGGAATTACTTGCTATTATTGAGGGTCTTAAAACTGCTAACGAGAATAACTTATTCCCAATCCAAGCGAAACCGGCCTCTATGGGTGATGTACAAGCAATTAAGGAGGCGATTGGTAAGGAGTTAAAACTGATTGAATCAGTTTCGATTGGATAATTCGTTTTTTACTCAAATTAACTCAAAATCTAACGTAACCCCACTATTAGTATTATCAATACAATTAACTAATATCAATCATGTCTCTCCTACCTCATATCAACTTTAACTCTCTCTCCATTCAGTCACATATTTTTAACTATTTATCACTTTCATCATCTCTTGCATACTTTTACATCACATTAATTTTAATGACTACATTTTAAATATTATTTAATTACAATTTTTCTCATCCCACCCAATCAACTTTATTCAAAATAACTTACTTCAACTCAATCAATTTTGATCAATTTTAAATTACTTTGACTGATTATCAATTCTCTCTTAAAAATAGTAAGGAGTCTCCTTGGTTTTGCGGCGTGGTTTTAACTGGTATTAAGCGAATATTGAATGTACAATAAATACGCAAAACATAAAAATAAGTAAATTTTAAAAAATAAGACCATATAAAATATGTTTAATGAAAAGAAGAATTATCAAAACTATTAGTATTGATTGAATCATTGATGAAATTCATGAGTTGGAAAAACGTTCTGTGGAAATTTGATACTACTAAGGTTTCACTACAACAAAATGATGAAATTCCAATACAAATATATTTTAATGGAATTCCAACGAAAATTTCAACAAATATATTCTGCTGGAATGAGTTTTCTATTGGAATTTCCGTTGGATTTTGACGATTCCAACGGAGGTGAAAATAAAAATTTCATATTCTAACGGTAAAAAACCGTTGAAAAAATAGCCGTTAGAATCATCAAATTCCATCTAAAATTTCAATGGAAAAGTCATCCCAACGCAATATTTTCGTTGAAAACATTTCAACAGAAGTTATACCATTGAAATATTCGTTGGAATATATTATCGTTTAATTTTTTTGTTGGAATATGACATGTTTTTGTAGTGTTTGAAACTTATATAATTTATATTGCACTATTATTATTAAATAATTATTTTATAACACAATTATATAACTTATATTGCATTGTTATTATTATAAATTTATTTACTACAACTTCCAATTTTTATATAAATTAAATTAATTGAATAATTATAAAAAATACATAGCCCCCCTCAAAATAAATTTCTAGATCCGCCCTTGCCAACCAATTTGTTTGGGAACAAGGTGATATGATGATTGATGAGTAAGCTTGTAACTAAAAATCTGACATGATATAATCGTGTTACTTCTTTTTTCTCACTTTTCAGACCAACTAATTTGTACAAGGTGATTTTTCATATCATGATTAATCTTGTAACTAAAAATCTGAAATGATATAATCATATAATATGTCACTTGCTAGAAAAAAAATAAAATAATAATAATAATAATAGTAATAATAATCGAGCATTTGGGTCGCCCTTAGGCTTTTTTGATGATGGGTTGGGCCATGAAAACGTGGGTTAATAGGGTACTAAAAATCTTTCATGTATATAAAATTAAATGCAGTCAAAGCAATAGATTTTTGTGTTAGAATTTGTTTCCACGAATCTCTACCTGGAAGGATATCATTACAGCACTATTCATGCTGACAAATACTACTAAACGCAAATCTAAAATAAGAAATTAGATTTCTTTAGAGTTTCAAACTATCATACTATCGATAGAATTCAAATAGTTGTTTTAAATGCGTCAAATTATCTCGTGACAGAAATATTTAAAACAGATATGCTATGGAGCTAACTTGAATGACAACTTGAGTTACAATTCAAGTATAAATGCATTATTTTTTTTTATTTTTTGTTAATGCATTTACACTTAGATTGTAACTCAAGTTGTCATTGAAGTGGGCTAAATAGCATTACTCCCGATTAAAATATACAATGCTCAATAAGATTTTTTGTCCCAGATGTGACCAACTTTTAGCAACTGACTATTATACTCTTCCCTATAAATTTCATAAATAGAAAGAAAACTATGCCCAAACCAATCACTTGTGTAGTTGTGTTAGGAATACGTCGAGCATTCAATAATCTTATACCTAAACTCAATATATAAAGGATAATGCATCTATCCTCGAATATTAAGGACATAACAATAATAACTAATACATATTTTTAATAAATAATCGATTCAAATTACGTATTTAATTTGGGACCAAAGTCCAATTGCATAATGAATTAACAATTGAGTACATGAGTCACTCCAAAATTATAAACTAACATTGGAATAAAAAAAACATGATATATAACCATATTTAGCTAGGGTAGCTGCTTTTTAACTTTTCACAATTAAAGTAATATTCGTTTTTCTTTTATCCGATTTTGACTCAGCCTAACAATTTTGCGTTGCGTAGGAAAGGTCTCTTTTACTTATAGCCAGAGTTGTTGAGCTCCAAGAGGCGTCACCACTTCACTTTCTCATCATCGTCCATGGCGGATTCAGGTACTCTCTCTCCCTCTCTCTCCCAAAGATGGGTTTTCTTGTTTATGTAGCTTTGTGTGATTATCTTTCAAGATCTTAATGTTTTGTTTCTTCCATATAGATTCCACCTTACCACTGACTGCATTGCAATCACCGAATTTGTTATCGTTTGATCAATACACACCAATTTTTTAGGGTTAGATTTCACTCTACTGGTGATTGCTCTAGCAATCACCGCAATTTTCATCGTTGGATGAACACATATCTGTAAAATCCTCTTATTATGATGAAAATCAGACTCTGTCACGAGACCCATCACTTCTAACTAACAATTTTGCTATATATGAATTCCCAAAAAATAAAATAAATAAAAAACAGGCAAAACCGAGAATGCGTCGTCGTCATCACACTTTGACGTCGTGCCCCTGGCGGCCGACCACCACTTCCTCCACGACCCGACTAAAAAAAACTCCCTGGTCAGCCACTTCAGCAACGCCCAGTCACCCGTCTACCGAGCCATCATGCGTGAGTGGAAGATCCTCCAGTCGAGCCTTCCCGACTCCATCCACGTGCAAACCTACGAGACACGAATCGACCTCCTTCGCGCGGTCGTTATCGGGCCCCAAGGCACCCCTTACCACGACGGGCTCTTCTTCTTCGACATAAGCCTCCCGGCCCATTACCCAGTGGGCCCACCATCCGTCTACTACCGCTCCCACGGCTACAGGCTAAACCCTAACCTCTATGCCAACGGCAAAGTCTGCCTCAGCCTCATCAACACTTGGTACGGAAATTCGCGGGAGAGGTGGACCCACGGGTCGACCCTGCTCCAGCTGCTCGTGTCCATACAGGGCCTCGTGCTGAACGAGAGGCCCTTTTTCAACGAGCCCGGTTTTGAGGCCGGTAAGAACAGCCAATCTTGTTTCTGGGTGAAGAGTTCGAATGTTTACAACGAGACGACTTTTGTACTGTCCTGCAAGACGATGGCCCGAGTAGCTAGAAGCCCGCCTAAAAAATTCGAGGAGTTTGTGGATCGGCATTTTCGGGCCCGGGCAGACCCGATACTGACGGCGATTGGGGATTATGTGGAGGGACTAGCGATGGTGGGGAGTTTGGAAGGGGATGAGGGAAGGAGGATTAGGGTTTCTAGGAGGTTTAAGAATGATTTGGCGAGGGTTAGAGGGGAGCTCGAGGTTGCATTTTCGCGGTACCTTCCATTGGGTTGGGTGGATTGCAATCGGGCCGTGGATGTTGAGAAGCCCAAAGAAGATGTGAAGAAGAAAGGTAAAAAGGGGTTATGGAAAAGCTTGTTGGGTTTGTGGAGAAGATTTGGGATTGAGACTGAAGGTTTCGAGTGAGGGAAATTTGTTGCTGTTTTTGTTAGTACTAGGTTGTGATGGATAATTGGGGGGGTGGTTTCTAGGAATGTGTTGCTGGGTTGCTAGTTGCTACAAAAACTTCAGAACAGTTGCATCATTTTCTCTTTTCAAACATCATCATATTTTCCAGTGATTAATATTAGCATACGTTGAGGTTATAATTGCAGGATGTTATTGTTTCACTTTCACCTTTCATTTCCACTAGAAAACAAACACACACACACAAAAAAACAAAAATTAACTAACACTGAAATATAATAATTAAGCTAAGGAACAAGAGAGAAAGAACACTGAATTACTATTTGGAGAAAATCATTAAAATTTAGCTCACAAAACAAAGACACCATTCAACACTTTTTACTTCGCCATCACCAAGTAAGTTAACGAAAAACGTGTTTCACAACATACCTTCCTGACAACGGCATCCCTTCAGTAGCCCGATCAATTGATGAGGAATCCAGGAGGGCCCACTCAAGCAGTATATGCAAACTCTAAAAGACAAGGGAAAAAAAAAGTGATTTTCAGCTTAAAGTGGAAAATTACCACACACTGAATGTTCAAATTTTCATTTGCTTTGTTTACGAGTTTGTAAGCACTGCCTTTTATTGAGACATTGAGCTCTGTATATACCCCTCCTCAGATTTTAGTTTTAGACGCCACAAATGATTCCCGGAAAATGCACAATGTTGTTGTCATCATCATCATCAACTTGCCAACATTTTATGGAACTCAGTGTACCTAAAAAGCATCCATGCTACTGTTCCTTTCTTGCAGCAGCACGCAATTGAACCATGCATCGTTTGTGCATCTCCTTCAGCTGCTCCACCAATTCTTGGAATGAAGGACGGGATTGTGGTTCACTGTGTTAAAAAACGTATTATTATAATGGGTTTATCAAAAATGATATCCTTGAAAAAAAAAGAACAGAATTCTTTCAAGAAATCGGAAACTGCAGAAAATTGTAAATGGGGAGCTAGTGGCAAAAGCACTAAAGATATTGGAATTCGAAAACAAATCGAATCATATCAAACTAGGAACGTACTACTTCAAAGTAGGATAAAACCTAAAGGTCAATGCAACTAATACTGAGATTCGAAACAAATTGTGATGAAAAACTAGTCTGAAAGCAGGCATCAGTTTAAACATACCGCCAGCAGCTTTCTATCATAGAAGCCCAACAAGGATCAACATCCTCTGGGATATCTAACCGTTGATTCATGAAGCCCACGGCTGCAATCACCTGTAATGATACCCAAAGAAATTGGTCAAACAACCCCTACCTATGTTTTTGCATGTTCCACTTCCTTATTATCTTCATAAAATATGACAAAATTTCAAAATTCCAAAATAATTCACATACCTGCAACGAATTGAGTCTATCCCAAGGGATCCGGTGTGTAGCAAGTTCCCATAGTATCACTCCGAAGCTATATATATCAGACCTGATCATATCAAACAAAAAAGACTCAGAATTGAACTACATAATTGATCTCTTGGTCAATGTAATTTAAAGCAGACTTAAAATTGAAAATATTCACAAAGCATTACTTCTCATCTGCAGGTTCATTGCGCAGAATTTCAGGGGCCATCCACTGAGGCTGCATTACGGGAAAAAAAATAAAAAAATAAAATTAAGTCTGGTTTCATTATTCATGAACT